TCATAAAAGATCTACATGGCAATAAAGTGGACTTAATATTCTACCAATTAAATCTATCTAAAATTTTACCCGTCACAACGTGAAATATTTAGTCATATCTAATTTTTGTAGGAGTGCTTTGATAGACTTTATTATTGGATGGTAATAAAGATCATATGATATATTTTTGAAATCAATATGTTTTTTTTTAAAATTAAGATTTAGTATCACCATTGAGCTCATATGTTTATGCATCTCTTTGGAACTTTTTAGTAAAGACGATACTTTCAAATTTACATATTTGTTAAAAAAACAGATAAAAGAATCTGTAGCTTGATTTGATAGATCGTAATCAATACAAATTTTTGCAAAGACTTGATAAATTTCGTTAGGCCATTGTGGAATTTGATCCTCAATCATCTTAATTGCTGCATCTTCAAAATTAGCCTCACAAAAGTCTTCAAAATCTACTGAGTCAGTTTTTGTATTAGAATCTTCTACAATAGAATCATCATCATTATTATATTTTGTAGAAAAATCATCTGTGGTAGAATCGTTCGCAATTCTTATACTATTATAATTAGTTTTCATATTTTCTTTAAAAATGTTATCCTGTATTTTAATTATGTCTGAAGTAGAGTTGGGAAACCGTAATATATCAACTATTGAAACACTATTTGAATTCTTTGTATATTTCAAATTAGTAATAGTGTCATTTATCTAATAAGTATATTGAAATATCTTTTATATTTTTAGAACCCTACCTCAATATTAAATAATTTCAAATCTTTAAATAATTCATCATCTTGAAAAAAGTCTGCATATTAATCGCTAATATGAGTTTGTACATTTGGATAATTTTCTATATAAATATGCCAGTTTTGAATATGTTGTGATAATCCTTGCTATTTTGTAAAAGTTCTATGACATTCTTCATAAGGACAATGCAAACTCATTATATCATGAATTATTTTATTAAAAATTGTTCTTTTGTCTTTGTCTTCAAATTTTAAATTATGATTTTACAGATTTAAATATTTCATGAGCTTAAACAATACAAATCAGTAAATTAATAAGTATGATTATATTAAGATTTCAATAAACTTCTATTATAATACAAATTGGTAAATCAATATTAAAATTCAAATCATATAAAACCATAATAATGATATCAATATTAACTTTTTTTTTAAATGAGTCTATAAAATAATGAGATCATTAATATAAATTCACTTTTTTTTAAATTAACTTTCTTTTAAATGATCCATTTCTTCTTACAAATTCTTTTTTTACAAAGACAGTTGACTAAATGAATTTTTCTTTATTGTAAAAATAAATATTTTTTTATTGTAATTATCGAGCTGAAGAATTTAAGTTATCATATATAAGTATGAATTCATAACATAAATCACATTTTATCTTACATTTTCTTCCTCTTTTTGAGCTATTTCTTTCCGTCATTTATATAAATTATATTTTAAATCTGAAATAAATCTTAAGAGAGTTATTGTCAATATAATAATATATCATTTATTTATTAAATAAAAAATACAATTATGATTTTCATTTCAATATGACAAACTTCAGCAACCAGAAATACATTGAAGATACATGATTCTCTTAGAATTTCTTCACAAGATTTGCCTGTACAGATTCCTATTACAACTTCAAAGAAAATAAAGCCACTTGAATCAGTTATTACAAGTATATTTGTCTGCATTTTTTATTAAATATTTTTGATATCATATACAATCATTCAATATAATTTAGATCATTTAAAAAGTCATTATTAAAGGATTCATCACGAATATCATGTGATTTTTCTCAAAATCGCAGAAATACTCGAAGTAAGATAAGTGGATTAAAAAGCAAGCAAAATGATCATATGTCATGTAAACCAATATATCAAACTCCTGAAAATATTATGTTACAAATTGATGACAGGTCATATGATGGTATTCATGAAGAGGGAGATGGTGATGAAGGAAAAGACAATGATGATGTTCATAAAGGAAGAGATTGTAATGATATTCATAAAGGAAGAGATTATGATAATGCTTATGAAAAAAGAGATGATGATAATTCTTGTGAATAAAAAGACAATGACAATGTTCGTGAAAGAAGTGGTGATGATTATTCTTTTAATGATGACATTAACTCTAATAATAAATACAATGATCAAGATATTTTGCAATATAATATTTCAGATATATCAAGAAAATATAAACAAAAAAATATAGTTAATATTGAACTGATAAAAATACCTGAAAAATATGTTGCTAGTATAGTATAAATTTAATATTTAAATATGTTTATATTAATTTTATATTAAAAACTTATTCTTTTTTATTATTGATAAACTAATAGATGGTAACGATAGTTATTTGGTCCCTTCAAAATTTTTAGAAAGATTAAATGCTCAAAATAAAGTTCTTTGGAAAAATCAACTTAAATAAGATAAAAAGCTCGATGAGATGATAAAAGTTATTTCAAAGCTGCAATGAGAAGATGGTTTATCATTCACCTTTTTTGAGGTAAGTGATAGTTTGAAAATGTATTTAACATATAGGATTTAAGTAATTTATTAAGTTTTTTATTCCTGATACAATAGAAAGGTATTGTAGCTATTATTAAAGATATTCAAAAAGTATCATTACATCCTACTGCAAAATTATTTAAGGAATATCTCGAGGCTTATATTAAAATGCAGTCTAAAGAATATATAAAGGATATTAAAGAACGTAGATGAGATTCTCGATTTTATTCAGAGTTTTTGCCTATAGTAAGTATTACAGTACTTATAACCAATTATTTTTTGTTGATTTTTTAATTCGTATTTTGTAGTGTCTTGAAAAAATGAGGTACTGTCGAAGTGCTATTGCTAAGGATATATGGCTTGCGCTCTTTAAAATTTTTCCTGAAGTTCCAGAAATCAAGACAAATGCGGGTACTAAAATTGCAGAATGAAAGAAATATCCACAGGTTTCCAATGCATATAAAAGTTTATAGAAGGTAGAAGATACTAGTCTTATAACAGTTAATATGATAATCATGATGGCTATGCCTAAAGAACGTAGAGAATACTGCTTAACACTATTAATAATTGCCTTTGCACTCGCGGTTTGTTGTATTGTTTTAAATCTACATGGTAAGATATTTGATGTACTGAAGAAGCTATCAAAAAACGTTGTGCTATTTTCTTAGTAAGTATTTGCTTTTGTATTTATACTTGATTGATTTTTATTGAATATTGCTTTTATAGATACAATTAAATGTAAAACAAGTTCCAAGTGAAAGAGATGTCGCAGATATTCAAAATGACTTGAAAGATACAAGCAAAATAAATGATTATAATAATAATGACGTTGAAGAACTTTCCGATGATGATACTAATGATGATATGAAACTATTTGAATAAACTTATAGTACCTTTTAGCTTTTAGTTAAAATTAATCCAGCAACTTTTATTTACCTTTTGCAATTATTGATATATATTGCTATAAACCTTTATTTGAATAAATAATAATATTTTCAATTCTGCAAAAATGATTATTTCTGAAGTTTTAATAAATGATAATTTCTGCAGTGATATTTCTGTAATAATTATTTTTGCAGTTAGTTAATAACAATTATTTCCGCAGTTTTGTATACTTACAGATCACTGAATGGGATGAAGAATAATGCAGTTGTCAGTACCTAAAGAAGTTCACAAATACCCATATCATTTAAACTCCTGATGTTTAAGGAACTCTTCACTATGACCGAAACTCTTGTTACACTCTTTCAGCTTCGAATAAAAATCCTTGACTGTATTTTCACCTTGAACTAATGACATAGTATGAAAATCAAAAAGGGTCTTTCTTTTGAACCATTCAAGATCTATCTCCTTTGTCCATATATCAGCGCCTAAATTAATTACTGCCCTAATAGGAATATTTTTTTAACTGCGCAATTTACAACAATCATTTTATTATGGTATATATAATATTTAAAAATAAATCTCTATTTAATACTCAGTAAGATAATCAAGTGATCATACAAAGTGCCTGATTCTTCGAATCCCTCTGGCTTACTTCAAACTACCATTCACTTAACCTTTCTCAATCATACTTTTCTTCATTGCTTATAAGGGATATCCCTTTTTCTCTTACCTTTTTTACCAATTAGCAAGGGAACTATTTCTTGTATTAAGTTTACCAAAGTTTCCTTATCTACACATTTGTCAAGATCTTCTAATTCAGTCTCTAAGGACTTTACATCTTTTTCTAATCTTTTTACCCTTCTTTTTAAAGTATTATGCTGGGAATGATAATCTTCCAATTGTTTCTTTAATGTCTTATTTTCACCAGAAAACACAGTATACACTTCTGCATTTTTCTCATTTAATCCAAATATCTGCGCTAATTTCTTTGTATATTTAATAACTTTCTGCTCACTATGTGTACTATCAGATGAATGGTTTTGATTATTAGTTAATTCCATTTTATGATATTTTATATATGATATATCTTTAGGCGAACGAAAAAATAAAATTAATAAATGATATCAGACTGATAAATCAGTCCTTTCAATCTGATCCCTCTAGGATCCTTTCTAACCCTTATATGTGATTAGTTTAGTTCCTTAGAAATCATTTTCATCAAAGATCTTGATTGTCTCTCTCTGATCATAAGGTTATCCCTTAATCGATAATTTACTATTATGTAGTTTTATGCTGAAGAGACATGGTTATCTGATGAATGTCAAAGGGTTTGACTGGCAATGGTCATAGCCTCTGATAAATTCTTCACACTATTTGATATGACTGCAAATACTACCCTTAATTTACGCAAATAGCTAGGAAGGAGTGGTTTATCAGTTTTAGGAAGAAATCTATCTTTTTTTTAAAAAAATATTAAACCATTTAACCTCTTGTACTCTTAGATCTCTCAACTGTTCAGAAGAAATTGCACCCTGAATATAAGTAAGGAGAAGTTTAATCTGCTCTTCATTTCTTTTTAATAATCTAAATATCTGAGAATTATCCTGCTGTTTTTGATTTTTTGAATACCCAGTTACACTTCCATTAGAAATGCATAAGTCTTTAATTTCAGCAGAATAGATGCAGAGTATTATCATTACATTTGCTAGAGCTTGTAGATTAGGTGCATTAGATACGTCATACCTATTTAATCTTTCTTTAACTGATTCTAACAAGAAGTGATCTGAAAAATTGATCCCTTCATTTTCACGTTGAACTTTATGCTTCTTTTGAATCTTGTTAGATGTGCAGGTTGTTTTATTATCTAATGTAGCAGAGATTATTTTTTCTGAGACATTAAGTTCCTGCAACTCTTTTCGAAGCCTACTAAGACAAGATGTAGTAGTGACAGGATTAGAGGACGTTACAGTTAAAGCCTTAGCTATCATCTTTACTTCTTTTTCACTAAGATTATCTCAGACAATACGCTAGGCTATACTTTCGATGATTTCTCTATCAGAAATGATGTCAGATACTTGGCATATATTAACTTTCCTGTTTTATCCCTCCTTCTTTAGAGGATACTTGACTTCTACTTCGACAAATTCTCTGGTCAGGGACTAATATAAACGCCTACTCTCTATTAAAATTATACCATTTTTGAAAGCACTGACGGCCCTTGTCTCTTTTCAGTTTATTTGTTAAAAGCTCGAGTAATTCTAAGGCGTGCTGGCTAAGTTCTTCATTACTCATATCTTTATTGAATTTGTGTTCTACAACGTACTTTGTTACAATCGTGAATATGATTGTGTGAATATAGCTTATGAAGTAACTACTAGATTATGTATAACTTTTAGGTTATTTTATATTTGAAAAAGTTCAATTCGAAAAAAATATTCTGATAATTCTCTATATGCGGACCTCACTCATGATTAGTGAAAAATAATAATAATTTGGATTTATATATCGCCTAATTGTAAAAAAAAAAAAAGACCCTCTTATTCAAATACCTTACTTATAAACCAGCTTCTTATTCGCTTTTTACCAAAGCATATCATTCTCCTAGAGTATGCTTACATTTTTTTGCCATTCCTTATCAGTATCAAATTATGAGGATGTGAGTCCTTTATTCTCAAGTTCACGTCAGATAATCTCTTCTCCTATTAATCTTTCTCGTACTGTCATTTCCATATGTTCTTTGGGGTCTTCTCCACTCTCTTTTGCATAACCACACATTCATGCATCCATTTTATTTTATATTAGAATGTGGTAGAATTGAATCTGTCTTTTTGGTGATTGTTACAAAGACATCTGGATCCTCTTCAAGTTCAACTACCCTTTTTCTAAAACAATCTTTACGCTGTTGTCTAGCCAGGAGTATAGCAGATGATACTTGATTGATAAGCTTGGGAGAATCAGTTGGGCGGTCACTCTGGGATCTCATTGTTTCTTTAGGAGACATATTCACTACTTCACAAATAGGCTCAATTGATTTAGAATGCTTGCTAGTCTCATGTTTGTCAATTACTAGCTCAGATATTTTAGAAATCTCAGATGTACCAAATGTGATCTCTTCAAAGATCTGTTGAGGTGACTAGAGCTTCAGTTTATTCTATCACATAGTCGAAAAGGTTTTGAATCACATCACTCTTTTTATTCATCTTCTTATCTTTACTAGTATTAGGTAGAGACATATTCTTTTCTGAAAGAGTCAGAATTATTTTTGGGGGAATAATTTCTGGTATATTGAATATGGGTATATCTGCTGTCTCATTTTCAGGTAAGTTGGGTTGAGGTGTATCAGAAAATTCTTCGATATCACCTAAGCCAGATTCACAGAGCTTAGCTATGATCTTAAAATGATCAAGAATATATTCATATACTCTTACTCCATTATCTCGTGAATGTGTCTGATCAATACTAATTAGTAAAAATTTCTTACCAGCGACCTTACTAGTTAATGGTTTTTTTCTATTAGATCCACACCATTTGAGATAATCCTGGTATACTTTTTCGTAGCCAAACCTTTTAATCTGATTTTTAGGCCAAGTTGTAATATATTTAATTATAAATCGAATAGGATTAGGAAGTTGCTCTCACATTGTTTCTATCTTCATCTTAGTTGCAGGAATTTTTCCTAGACTCCAATTTGATAAATCACAGCTAAAGAGATATGACATGATTACTCTAGATGCATCAGGATGGTCTAGAATACCTCTAGCTGGCTGAAATATGGTATATTACCTTTACAGCATGCAGAGATATTAAAATAAACTATACGAGAATAACCTATGTCTATTTTGAGCAGAGCATCCTGATTGCTTGTAACCATATACTCAGTATAATCATTTATTCATATAGTTTCAAGACTCTTACGCTCTATAGCTACCATTCGTTTTGTTATAAGTGATTTGAGATGCCCGTTAAATCTATGCTATTCTCTACTAGACATCCCTATCTCATTCATAACAATTAGCTTTCGAGCTTGAATAGCACTATTAAAATGCTTAAGAATGTTTTCCAAATCTGAAGTTGCAAAATAGAAATGTGATCCCAAGATTTTATCATCAATAAAGTCAGTAATAATATTCTTTTTGCACTGTTGTAATGTAGATTTTAGTACCAAGATTATCTGGATTTCATCTCTGGTTTCTGCACTAAATGTGCTTACCAGTTCTAGATATATTTATCAAGTCTTTTATCTCACTACAGATTACGTCTTTATATATCAGAGAATTGGATTTATAATTTCTTTATTAATTTCTGGCACTGGCTTAGCCAAAAATCCT